CTGGAATTCGATATTTTTAATACTCCGACGTACTAAACAGCTCTAATTAACCTTTGATTAATTCTGCGCTTAGTATAACTAGGAACACTTTACACTAAGTCCAGAAGAGTGGCGATAGATTAACTATCTTCTTTGGATTACCTAGCCTTTCTTTAAATTCACCACTCTTCTTTCTAAAACTAAGGATATTAGTATTCACCTGATCTTTAATATCTACAATAAGCTCTTTAACTACCTTAAAAAGTCAAAGACTGTTTTAAAACGGAAGAAGGTTATATAGAAGCAGCTTATACTTACTTCTCTTAAGGCAGCAGAGAAGAAGCTTTCGCAATATTACAGCCAGACCGATTAAATTGATAACAATCTTTACGCAATTAGCACTATTCTCTCACCCTAACAAAAGCTTGACTTTTTTAAAGGAAAGGACTAGGATAATCCGGTTAATAACTAGCGTGCAATCTATCGAGTAAGTCTTAAGGAATACTTTTAGTCCTATAAGAAACTTTATTCAGATACACAATTATTATCTAGAGCTCGATTATCCGCAATCGCGATTTTAGAGCTTAAAATAGAATACGGAGTAGAAGGGTCCCAGCCCTTAGTATTGAGTGAATATAATAAGCTTAAGGAATACCTTAACAGTGGTAAGTTATATCTTTTTGTTATCTACCCTATATTAACTTATATTTAAGGTATTATACGAACGCCTACCTATATATTTTGGAAAGAGTATCAGTATCAGTACCCTACTCTTATAAACCTTACACGCGATATACTATCAATACCAGCTATAGGGGCGGGTGTAGAACGCCTTTTCAACTCCGCTAGGGATATCTATCACTACCGACGAGGCTCTCTAAAGGTATCAACAGTTTAAGATCTAATAATATTTATATATATATCAAAATTTAAGATCGAAGATACCCACCGAGCTTTGATCAATAAGTATCTTTTATATAAAGAGATATAAGCTAACTAAGAGGAGAGTGATATAACCAACACTTATTATTTTGACCCTATAAGTGATAATAACGAGGGTAGTGATACTTACAAGGACGTAGAGGATAAGGATAGTACTATCGAAGTGGTAGTTAATTAAGGTCAATTACAACGGAGGCAGCGGACTCAATCGGAGCTCGAGGTTAAAGAGTAGGAGGAGGATACGGATAGTGAGCCTAAGTTACCTTATACACAACGGTATTCAGGGAGGGTTCGGAAGCGCTTAAGTAAGCTTAATAGTTATAAAATTGAGAGTGATAAACGCCGTAGAACTTAAAGCTATATAACGTATATTAGTTCCTTAAAGAATAAGATATTTCTATTAAGATTTGATATTATTTAGCCTATTTAAATAATTACTCCTAGTTATATTTATTTTCTATAATACTAAGCTGTAAACCAAATACTAAATAATACAGCTGAGAAATATATATTTTATACAACTCTAGGGATTTCCCTGTTTGTCCTGTTTGTCGGCCCTCAAAATATTTGGAGGGCCGCCCTCTGAGGGCAAGAAAATAACCTACCCGACCCGCGGGTAGGCGTCGCTTGCCCTCCGCCCGCAAAAGTGCGGGTCTGCGGGCGGCCCTCAGAGGGCCGCTCGCGGGCGGTTATGAGGTCTATATTTCTTATAGGTAGATCGAAAGATAATTAGTATAATTCTTATTTTATAAGCTTATATCACTAAATTCTGTTAATTATATCACTTAAAGACTTATATTATTATTCTAGGAGTTTTAAATCCTTCGATTGTAACTTAAGATAGGCGTTTAGGTATATTCCTATAGGCGTACCTATAGGTATACCTATAGACAAAGACACTTATAGCCAATCAGCTTATAATATATAGTGGGTCTACACTTAATTTACGATCTATTAGATCTATATAAAGCACCCCTTTTACTAGTAATCCTTATTTTATATAGTTATAAGTTACCTATTATAAGTTTAGATCACTTACTCTCCTATAGTCGTTATATTATCCCTTATATTATATTAACTATATCCTAACCTAGTGCCTATACCGCAGGGCCTTCTTTACTTCCTCCGAGCTCCTAACTAGACCTCTCCTATATCGCCGATATATTTAATCCCAACCTTAATCTAAATATTAATCCTAGTCTCTTTAACAGCTAATAGACTTCTATCTCACTAATAGAGTCCGAGTTCACTTAACCGGCTATTCTTAATTACTCTCTTAAATACGTCGGCCCCGATCGGAGAAAGCAGTTTATCCTCTACAACGCGATAAATAACGCGTCTAAAGTAAAGTTTATTAAGTAGTAGCGTACTACAGTACGCGGTAGCAGTACTAAGATATAACAAAGGCTACGGTGGGATATAAAATATATATTAGATATCTAGGAGAACTTCGACTAGGTAGTATATTATATTATAGGCGAACCTTTAGTTATATATCGGACGTATAGGGTTATATTGCCTTATCTAAGTATAAAGCAAAGCGGTACTAATACACTTAAGCGGTATCTAGCCTTAGGTAAATACTAAAAGGGTGGTAAAAGTAAGTCTATATAACAGTCGATTAAGGAGACTATATAGTATATACCGGTAAGTCTTATATAATTATACCCTTTAAGATAACTAATATATTATATATTAGGTACTAGAGTTATCTTATAACTTAAAATTCTCGAATAATAAATAGGAAAGAGAGTAGATTAAATATCTTACTAGTCTAAACCTCTATTTCCGGATACTTAAGAGGAAGTAATTTACTTCCTTAATTCGAATAGTACAAAAGGCTCTAGCTAAACCGACTTTACTTTATCCTCGTACTGCTTAACGCCGGCTTAAGAAATTAGTCGACGAGGAGCAATATATAATTCTCGCTACCTTACTATAAGATACGAAGCTCTTAATCGCCCTCGACTGCTGGATATCGCCTTTTTAGTAGGTATTTATAGCAATTATAGGGTACTTTATCGACCGAGACTAGAATTACTGTAAGCTCCTACTTAGTTTCGAACCACTTAATAGGGTATATTCTAGTGTAAATCTAAGTGAAGTACTTATAGAGATCTTTAAGAAGCTTAATATTACTGATCGTGTATTAGCGATTATATCAGATAACGCGTTAAATAATATAACTTTAGTATAGGTAGTTTAAGACTCTATTGACTCCCTTAAACTACCGAATAGCCCAGTGGTTGTTCGAATCCCTTATCTTATATATATTATCTAGCTAAGCCTTCGCGAGCTACTTAGATCGGTGAAGGCCGATCCCTAGAATAATACTACAGATCGCAATATTTCTGATATCTAAGCCTAAGCCTAAGCTCGATCGCTCCGTGCTTTACAGAGTGAATAAGTTATTGTACAAACCCTTATTAAGGTAAGTGTATCACTTTATTTATTACTTAATATATCTAATAACTATCTAGATTCGAGGGCTTACTGTGTTTATTAATATAAGCCCCTAACTTCGCGATAATTTCTTCCGTCTCTAGACCAATAGAGTAGAATTTCGATTTACTGAACCGGCGCCTGTTTCGGCGCCCCCTCCTTCGGGTTTAGCGCCTATGGGACCGACGCCCGATTGGGGAACGCGCTCGTCCACTTCGGGTTTAGCCCGTCTACAACGGGTTTGGCGCCTTACGCTAGCCCCGATCGGGATCTGCCGTCTCGCACCGCCCGTCTCGCGACGTCCGCCATCTATATAACCCGCGGTGCGTCGCTCGACCATGATTCTCTTCTTTCCCACACCCCTTTCCCCCCTTCCCTTCTATTGTGTTTCACCGTCACCATTCCCTGATCCGCTGACGTGGCCCCTGTCGGCTGAAAACCCTGGGTCCTGAGCACAGCCTGCTTCCCCACTCACGGAAATTCGAACGGGTCGGTCTGGCCATACAAGTCACCCGGATCGCCCTTGATTTCTCAGTTCTGTATGGCTTAATACATTCTTCGTTCGTTTCATACTGTACGCTACACAGGGTCGCTGTTTCAACCGGTGCAGATATCACCCTCGGACTATTTGATAACTGGATATTTAAAGAGCAATATAGGAGGATTACTGGCCGCTCTTTGTCTCAGGCTTCGGTTCGCGAATGCCACGCAGCGCGCCGCAACACGGTCACCTTTGCTCTTTCAGCCGACCCCTGATTGATAGACCGGTGAGTCGCTCGCTAGACCCGCTTCCGCTCTCTATCCAACCGCAAAAATACCTCAAGGAGCTCTGGCGCTGAGCTGAGACATCGCAATCATCCTAATAACATAGAATTGATAGCTTATATAATCGGCTTGCGTGATCGGCGAATCCTAGGCTGCCGCTCGAGTTGAGGGAGTTTTTCTTACCAATCTCTTCCCAATCCATCGATTGTCAGCTGAGGTATCTTGGAGGCTGTAACGTTACACGGTGGGTACTACGAACCTAAGGCGCCCTTTGACGAGGCCGGTTAGCTGGATTCGCCCGGAGAACTGTCCAGTGATCGCCTGACGTAAGCAGCGAATAGTATCAACGAGGCAGTGCTGTCGCAGTTCTCGGTTATATAGGGTCCGCGAGGCGATATACTGTATAATTCCTCAGCTAGTAATGCCCTGGCGGCGCCTAGGTATTAAAAAGGATGACTGACCTCTTTTTCCTATACTTTGGATATGATTCAGAACGGACGTAGATATACCAGCCTAGTGACCGCTGCGACTCTTATTTAAGCTTGCTTTATTCTCTGTTGGTTTCTATCTCCGCTGTGTCTACGCTGTATCTTACCACTTTCTGGGAAATAAGGGTGGATCTTGATCAAATCGAGTTCTACCATGGCCTAAGTCGCCCGCCGCTTTCTACCAGTGCAAAAAGCGTGCCCCCTAACCACGTCCCAGCTTATATGCCACGATACCTCCAGCAGTCTTTTCCCACTGGGTTCGGCTTCTGTCGAGGACCGTGTAAGGCACCCCTAGGACAGTCACCGCCACTGACCGGTACAACTTATAAGTGGAATATATTTGACTTCGAAATCAATCATGTCTATAGAACCACTCAGACTGAAATGACGAAAGATATCGGACCCTCAGTGACAACAGATATACCAGCTGCCTGTGATATTCTGTTGGATCGTGGAAGTTCCGCGCTGGCTTTCTCAGAGCTAGTGCTATCGATACACTCCGCGAGAACAATCCTGTGTCCTGCAGGGCTAAATCACCTAGACCCTATTCCTCCTGATATGCGAGGAGATGATCTACCGGGTAAGCTAACACAACACATTGAAAGTCGGCTATTATCCTTATTGTCTGACTTTTTTTCTATTGTAGACACTGTTCCTAGACCTTGCCAACTCCCATGGGAGTGGTCCCATGGGACTATCCCATAGGACCATATGGGAGTCCCATCAAGTCCCATGGGAGTGCCAAGAATGGGACTAAGCAGTCCAGTCCGCTCCTATGGGACTTTGATAGGACTCCCATGGGACTGTAAACAGTGCAAATATATAGAAAAATGTGACCTACATAACTTATAAAGAATGCCACTGTTTTTTTGGGTATTTTAATTACTCAAAGAATAGAGATAATAATACTTTAGGCTTAGTATTAGGACAAAAATAGTAGATTTGCAGTGCTATATCTAGAGCGCAATTTCTGATAGACAGTAGAATTTGATATTTTAACAGCTGTTAAAAAATTCTATACTAATCTATCTCTATTATATATAAGTATACAAATCATTATCTCTTCGTCGCTTGCGTTCTCTTTGGGGACGTTGTTGACTGAACGGAATCACTGGTAATTGGTGGCGTATAGAATGATCTAGCTCTGCCTCTTCTGTGGCGGTATCTATATTGTCTGGATTAACGTTGTCGGCTTCATCGTCTACACTGTCTTCGCTATCTTCACTATCACTGATTGGCTCTAGCGTATAGTCAGGAAGTCCTACCTCCCTTTGTTCGTCAATCTCTGTTCTTTCGTCTTAGTTAAGAACGGATTTAGGTTGAACAGTATCCTCAGTTTCTTTATCTCTAATATTAAACCTTGATAAACAACGGAGTATTATTAGATCTTGAATCGTCGATTTATTTAAAGAGCCCCGTCGGTAATAGTAAATATCGCGAGCAGTACTAAAGAGACGCTCAACACCTGCGCCTATAGCTGGGATCGAAAAGACGTCCCGTGTAAGTCCTGCGAGTGTCGGAAAGTTACGCGTATTCTCCCTCTAGAAATAGTATAGATTCGTTGCGCTCTATTCTATAGAGAGTTAGTAACGTAGTTCGTAAAATAGTAAAAGGATAGTATAAACTTACTAAGATTGAGATATCCCTTAAGTTCTTCTTCCTAACCAGTGGCTTTTGATAGTAGTGGGGGCGGTGGCTGATCCTCAGCGAGAAGGCTTACTATTTTATCCTCTGTATAATGTGCCGAAGGTATCGCTGTAGGTGGTACTTCCCTTTCTGGCTGATATTTCGAATAGTCTTTAAGATAGCTATAAAGCGAAGACTTATATATATTATACTAAGAGGAAATAGTATTATTGAGCTGAACCTAACCTAACCATTCTAGGCCTTCAAAAAACTTAAGCTTATACTGGGGAGTAAGAATAGTACCTATAGCGTATAAGCTACTATAGGCTTCCTCTGTTAATTGGTAGTATACCGAAAGCTTTTCCCTTCTAGCTTTAAGAGCCGCTAGTATAGCCTTCTTCTAGGGTACCTTCTTACAACGAAGTCGGGCCTGGGATTATTCAAAATATATAAATAGCCGGTTATATACCATAAAAACATTGTGAATAGTTATTATCTTGATCTTTGATAGACCGACCGTCTACTTATAGAAAGGCTTTGTGATACAGAGTAGGTAATCGATTTAGCGCCACTCCCCTTTACTGATATAGAACTTAGGGCGCTGGTGCTCTGTACAATACCGCTGGAATATTGTCTAAAGGCGCTTAGCACACTAGAGTATAAGATATATAGAATTCCACCGAGTGCGGATATCTTAGATTGGAGCCAGCTTTATTCCGTCGCTCTGGAGATTCAGAAAGGCCTCCCGTCGCTGTGGGCTAGTATTGATAAATACAGCAAAAGCGCGAACCTATAATCATGATTAATATAAGATACCTTTATAGAGGTTAGATATATACCTTTGTAAGTGTATAAATAATTCCCTTCTATAGCTTTGCTTGCTGAAGGATACTCCTATTTTCTTCTGACTATACAGTCGCGGTTTTATTATTCTTTGGATTGGCCTTTATTAAGCTAAGAAGATCTTTTAGACTCAGCTGAATCATATAGGTAAGGTATAGAACCCGTATAATCTCAGTAGAATCCGGGAGATCTATCTGTCGGATCGATTCATAAAGACTTTCAACTATGGTTTTGTTGTTTGACGTATTATCAGTAGTAATTGCAATCACCCTATCAACGATCCTATAGTTAGAAAGAACACCGAGGAGAACCTCTACTAAGTGAGCGCCGGTATACTGGCTATAAACCGGTATAAAGCCTAGAAGTATCTTATAATATACCCAATCGATATCCACAAAATACCCTATGATCGCTATAAACGCTTATTAGAATAGTGAGGTCCAGCAGTTAAGAGCAATCGAGAGCTTTACCCCAGCGGGGAGGTAGGAGAGTAGCTTTTGCTGTTCTGCCTAGACAATCGATTGGAGTCGACGCCGCGCAGTTTTCGGTAAAAGAAGGCTTAAAGGTTGTGGTAAAAGCTATACCTCTGCTATAAGATCTTAGAATTCTTGGTGCCGGAGGATTTGAAATAGAAGGCGAGAGTTTGCGATAAATTTTACCTAGGCTCTCTTAAATCTTTGTAGATTAAAGGCCTTTCGAGTAGATACACGGTTTAACTAAGAATAATATAGAAGTTAGCCTTAGATAGATTATTTATAAGACCCTAGTCTTACCGAAAGTTTAAACGATTGTTATATATCCTGTTGGGTTAAGTCCTTTTATACGCCAGTTTTGTATACGCGGCTACTTAAGTGCGCAGTTAGGGATTTCGACCTATTCAAGGTTAATAATAGGTGCGATAGCACCTTTCTATATCTCCGACAGAGTGCTATTGGTTTTCCAGTTTGATAGTGTGCTACCTAGTCAAACTGATCCTAAGCAGAAGATATATATTGTGCTTCGAAGTTCACTTTATAGAGTGGAGGGTATAGATAAGTACCAGTTGTATTCCTCCACTATTTAATAAACTCTGCCTTATTCTCTATAGTCCAGAGAACCTAGAACTTTTGATTTCGTGGACCGATTCGACGAAGACTAGGTGGAAGAGGTATTGATTCAATTTTGGACTGAACGACTAAGGATAGTGGTACGCTATAAATCGGCTGCTGGCTAATCGAATAGTCTAGTGTAAGGGGTTTATCTATCAAATCAAGATTATAGAGTGAAGATAGTAGAGGTATCCCAATTTGCGAGGAGGTAATCTGGGACGAAGGGCTAGCCTCAGTATAAAGATCGTATTGAGATATAATATTCCAATAATCATTATATCGTAGAGGACTAGGGTAAAGAGGGGAGGGACTTAGGAGTATAATAAGGATAGAATAATCTTAACTTACCTCTCAAAAATCTTCTGATTAACGATCGTATCTATCCTCTATACCTTGAGTACTCTATAGTAGGCCGAGTAATAACTAGCGCGAAGATAGATTATAAGATAGTAAGACCTTCTATTTACAGCTCCCCGATTGGTTAAGTAAGCTTTATAATAGTGGGGGTCCTACGGGTGTCCTATAGGAGTCCCGCGGGAGTCCCGTAGGAGTCCTATAGGAGTCCTATTAAGTTAGGGGTATAGTCAGTTTTGAGGGTTAACCCGATCCCCTAGTATTTTAATGGAATTTCTTGTATAAAGGCCTCTAAAGCTCAATTTTCTGACCCCAGTCAAAAAACTGACAGTTGTATCAAATCATTGTATCTTCTACTGCTATTTTTCTGACCTCGGTCAGAAAATTGATAGTCGTATCAAGTTATTGTATAAAGGCTTCTAAAGCTTATTTTTCTGACCTCGGTCAGAAAACTAGCAGTAGTGTCAAATTATTATACTTCTAAACCTACTATATACTAATACTACTACTATATATATATAATTAAATTACTTAAAAATATAAAGAAAAAATATACAAATAATATAGGTCACGAGGTTAAGGAATTCTACTTAGTTACTAAAAAGGCCTTAAGGCCCGTGGGTAGTGCCTACCCGCCTGTCTATAGGCGATGTCGCAGTCCAGACATTGATTTCTATACCAATAATATGATATTAAGAGTAGTTTTGAAATAAAAGGATAAAATAAAGACCTATCTATAGTATCTAATGCTGTAAAAAAAAAGGATTTATTATATTTTGGTATAATTTTTAATATATATAGAGCTTAGTTGAAACTGGAGAGTATAGTATATATATGAATATATATATCTCTACTGACTGACTATAATACTAAGTCAACAACTTCTTCTTGATCTCCTACACCTAATTTTATATATTTGAGCTTACTTTTGCTTGAATATAATATTTAAATATATAGCTAAGATATTTATCTTCTATTTTTAATAGTATACTATATAAAAAAGTTAGATTGCTACAAACTTGAAGTAAGAATGTTGATACACCTGTAAAAAACAGTATTTTATCTGCTGAGTTAGCATTTTTGTGCAACCAAAATAGGAAATGCTTGGCAAAAATATATATGCCATGGGACCATATAGGAGTCCCATCACTCCTATAGGACTCCCATGGGACCACTATAGTAATGGGACCAAAATTTTGGCTAGTCCCATGGGAGTGATGGGACCAGGATATGGGACCAAAATTTTTCTAGTCCCATGGGAGTTGGCAAGGTCTAACTGTTCCTGATACCCAAGAAATAGAGACTTCTCAACTATCGTGCACACCCTGTGTAACCGCACCCGTGTCTGCACTAGAACCTGCACCCGAACAAGCGAACTGTGTCTCTAGCAACCTATCTGTGGTGGGTGATTTCTAGTATAAATTAGCCAAGCGGAAGTTATCTACTATGGAGCCCTCAGACAGTTCAGATAGTGGGGACTACGAAAATGATTCGGAGCCGAGTTAGACATCTAACCTAGGTGAAAATCTATGCTTAAGGGCAAACAAGGCTTCTGAGCGGGCTGAAGATCCCAGCACTATTGAAGACACGCCAGCTATATCTAGGCCGTCCTCCCCGCCGACGGCTCGCTCTACATTAAAATGTTCTCGAGCTCGAACGACACCAAGTTCTAAACCCCCGGTGCGCTACCCGTCGATAGCTGTGGTTATACCGTCAACGTCCTAGAAATAAGGAGCCGCTAGGACAAGCATAAGGGCCGCTGCGGCAGTATACAAGAAGCGACTCCGCTTAGGTCGAGGCACCAGCGACCACCAAGACGAGAACACCCCCTATAACACAGCACAGCCGTGTCAAAAGAGAAAGAAAAGGAGACCTTCAATTAGGCCACTTTCCGACCCTTCGAAATCTTCCGTTCCTATTTTATCTTATCGCTCTGGTGCTATCTAGCGTTTATATAGGAGTGCTATCCTCACGGTCGAGTCTAATACTGGTCTGAAACCGGTATATTTCTTTACTTTCGTACCCGACCCTAGCCCGATGCTGCCTCTAGCCTATACGGCGGTTATCCGCCAATTGAAACACACGTACACGTCGGACGAGAATACGCTGCTCGTGCGGCTGAAGGAAAAAGAGGCAATATCATGGTCTGAGATTACGACCCACTTCCTAGGTCGAAACATGTCATCCCTTCAAGTTCACTATTCAACTAAATTACGCCACAAAGCCAGCTCTCGGTCTGGAAGACCGAAGAAACGCCAATGAGAGAGGCTATGCTGTTGGGATATTTCTTGGTTCGCGCCTATCGACCTCGCGCTGTATACAATATCCTCCGTAGCTATCTGTTTCAATACAAGCAATAAGGGCGGCTTTGTGTGAGTTTTCCCTTGGTTTTTTTTCGGCCCCGGAGTTGCGTATGATGCCTCACCCGACTGGACGCTGATCCTTAGGCTAAGCAGCCCTTTGAAGACAGTCCCTTCGCTATAGCCCTCTTCTGGTAAGGATCTCCTACGACTATCCAAGCTTAAAACACTGAACTAGTTGATACGCAATCTACCTCTACGAGGAACGGCTTACCGTAGTCCGTAGAAGAAAGCGCGTGGTGCGAGGTGACGAAACTTTTTGCACAGAAATTCCCTGGAAAAAGCAAAGGGTCTATATAGGTGTTTTGGAGCACGACGCTCAAGAAACAGCGGCGAATTTTGGCGGACGCCACGTAGAAAATGCCATCCTTATCAATACTCAAGACTACTGTCGTTTTCTCTTGCACTTAAAACCCTTCTCTCTTGTCAGTATTGGCCTAACGTTACAGTTATCCTCTACACAGCTTCGATCAGTTTAATAGATGGTTAAGTAATTCCATCTTTCATTGTCTTTGCCAAGCTTTCCCGTATATCATCTGTGGAGGCACGAGACTCGTGCGAGCGGCGCTGATATGTAGGAAAATTGACATTACCTACGGGCAAGCTAATCACCTTGATTTCTATTGCTCAAAATATAATAGGCAGCTGACTGGAGCGTGTAAACCCCTATTCCAGTAGTACAGTAACAAGGGCTTTTCGCAGTAGGATCACTGACAGTATAAAATGGCGGTGAGTCTTAAACGAGGCTGTGTGTAGCAGTCCACTTCGTTCTCACTTCTCTTTACATTATCTCCTAGTTCCCTCCCTGTCCTACTTCCCTTCACCACAATGACGACTTATATTCTTTACAGTCCTGACGGCGTAATTGATGAATTCTTCAACTCGAACACTACTGTCACAAGACAGCAATGCGATGAATTCGCCATTTGTCGCGCTGGTGGTGTGTCCTCTGCTCTACAGATATAGGGGGTGTGCAGCTATACCGTGACAGCGGGACCCAATAAGACCAAGCTCTTCTAGTTCCGAGATAAGAACTCTACCATCGATATGGGTAACATTACCATTGCCAAAGCAATCCATCCCGAATTTGTGACTAGCTGCAAGTATCTCGGTACTATAGGCGATTCGCGGCCAGTCTATATCTACGAGATAGAGCATCTTCCTGGGACTGCTTATATAATAGCGCGTATTCCTCCAGACGACATACACCGACAGCGTAACACTATCAAGGACTTTGCAAGGTACGCCTAGCAAAGTTTTTGCTCTATTTATAAGAACTAACATTTAGAACAGGTTCTTTGCACAGTCATAGAACAACAATCTACAGCTATCCTCAGATGTAACCGCGACCTTGCTTATAGAGTTTCAATCAAATTTTGATCTTCTTGCTCGAAACCTACCGTCTCGCTTTGCACCAAACCTAGAAAGGGTCCGCAAAGAGCTCCCGTCTCTCTTCAAAGATCTCCCCTTTGTTCTGAGCCACAGTGACCTTAACGTAATGAATCTCCTCGTCAATCCCAAAACCGGAAATATCACAGGGGTTGTTGACTGGGCTGAATCAAGGATTCTGCCGTTCGGCTTCGCGCTATATAGGCTTGAGAATCTTTTGGGCTGGATAGATTCAGAAGGGTGGTACTACTACGATCGCTACCGCGAACTCGAGAGCCTCTTCTGGCAAACATTTCGAGAGGAAGTTCATAATTTCTCTGACGCTGATTTGTATTTGATTCGCGCTGCTAGGATAGCTGGACTTTTCTATCATTATGGATTTAATTTTGACACGAAAGGGGTGGTTCAAAGTGTGCGGATAGACCAGCCGGATGGTTCGCTCGCATATCTCGATGCTTTCTGTGCTGCTGGTGAGTGGGCTCCTCTTTCGTGAGCCTGCTTATAATGCGTTGCAAGGCAGGCAGGGTGGTAGGATGTCATAAGCGGATGCAGGCATTTTTATATATATTGACAGTAAACTCTGAGCGTATATACCGATACTTGGTCAATCTAGTGGGGGAAAGGAAATTACTTTGGTAAAACATCGGTAGTAACACCCCTGATATTGAACTATCTAGATACTATCTCTAGGTTAAAGATAGATTCAAAAGACAATGTCCTCGCCTCGGAGGACAGCCATAAGCTGGTTCTCCGTTTCGATCTTGTTGTTGGTAAAGACTTAGTAGGTACCTCTGACAGTTAGTGTATAGGACTCTCCGTTCTTAAACTCAGTTATACGTGATTCTTTAAGAAAGAACCCAGTGATGCGAAAAGGTGTCCTACGGGCTTTCACATCTCTTTCGTCCAATATAACGGTGCCGTTATCAGCGAGGACAAACTCACTCATCGTCGGCGGCACATTATTGGTAAGGACTTGAAGCCCGAGGAGATCAACCAGGTGATAGGCTTAAAGGTAACTAACCAATTCCTAGAAGAAAACGGGATCGATATCATCCAAACTAGCTGTTGGTCCTTGGCGATACTCGTAGGCTTGTATCTCGCCGCTGGCTGTTAGCTTGAAGATATGGCTATAGATCTCTGCCGGGTTGATATCTGCGATACTAGTGGGCTGGGTCTAGTATCCCCGAACGGATTTAAGGGACGTTCCAAGCATGATTTTGTTTTCCTCGATTTGGAAGTGCCCGTGGATGAGGTGGAGTCCATAAATTTTCTGGACGTTGAAACGAGTAAAGAGGCTGGCAAGCTCCTGAAGGTGAACCTTCTGCACTTGTGGCTGATCTCTATCGTCCGGTAGAAGATTGTAACTGTTTCAGTGCAGTATAGTTAGCGCACGGCCAGTCTAATTGTAAGTCACCAAGGTGAACATACGCCCGCGATGACTGTAGAAGGTCCTTGATAGTAGGAGGAATATAAAGGCTAGGGATAACGATGGGAGCAGTTACAGCGACTGCCATAATGGAAATAAGCTTGGGAAGAAGTTATTGGTTGTGAATGCAGCAGTTGATAGAGAGAGAATGGGATGCTCTAGATAAGGAAGCGATAGGTGGTCCTTAAGTATTCGTTCGGCGCTCGTCAGTCTTCGAGAATGAGCAGCTTAAAGCCCTCGTAATTCTAGCGCCTAGCATATATATTTATGCCGGTGGTGACGCCGCCTGCAGCTAAAGGTTTTAGAGTAACTTGTCTCCTGTATGCTGAGGGTTAAAGCAGAGAACGGATGTGAAACCCTGTGTATTAGCGCAAGGCTGTGTCAAGATTCTCACACTAAGAAAACATCGGAGCCGCGTCCTCAATATATAAGGGCCATCTCGTTGGATCGAGAGGGTCTGAGATAGGAAATGGAGGACAGTAGGCTGCAGTCGCCAGGTAGTTGAGGGAGAATTACTTCCTAGGAGCTATATGGGCGGGGGTAAGTGTAGGATGCTGTATTTTTGCGTCAGTAAGCGGCCCCTTATATGACCTGTGACGTGGCGGCCGCTCACTTCATCCCGTCTTCTACCTTGTCTTCCACCTTATCTTCCACCTTATCTTCCACTTTATCTTCTATTTTATCTTTCACTTTATCTTCCACTTATCTTCCACTTTATCTTCCATTTTATCTTTCACTTTATCTTCCACTTTATCTTCCACTTTATCTTCCACTTTATCTTCCACTTTATCTTCTACTTTATCTTCCACTTTATCTTCCACTTTATCTTCTATTTTATCTTTCACTTTATCTTCCACCTTATCTTCCACCTTATCTTCCACTTTATCTTCCACTTTATCTTTCACTTTATCTTCCACTTATCTTCCACTTTATCTTCCACTTTATCTTCCGCCTTCTCTTTATCCACCTCAGTATAGAGAAGCAACGTCGTTCCCCGAAACAAAAACCTTTCACTGCTACTGAAGCTATGAGTCGCCTTGTCAGCAAAGCCAAGGAGCTAGTCATACTTAAATACCTCACTCAAAATGAGAAAACTCGCACTGCAGATACCCTCACTATTTCAAGAACCTTATAAAGCGCTTGGAAACGACAAAAGTACAAGTTATTCCTGTGTGGCTTGCTTGAAACCAGTGGGCCTCACTTGTTTCTATTGTGTGCTATTGCTTTGGGTCAAGTAATTGTTGCCAATATGAAAAACAGGGAGCGCAGAAGACTTATCGGACTCGCCAAGAATGATACGTAACTCGCCCAACGTATTATTAAGGACCTTGCTATTCAGTGCCAAATTCCAGTCTCTTTAGAAGGTGAGTGCCTATCCAACAATATAAACGAAGCTAACTTTCGGAGGCTTAACCGAGAATTCACAATATATAGCCAGCACCGTCGGCCACTTACAGAGCCAAAGAGATAAAGAGCAAATAACACAGGCCGCATCACAGCCAATGAATGAAATAAATATTGGAAGGCGTGAGTAAAATAACCCAGCACTAAAACCAGAAGCTAAAATACAACGTAGAAATTGAACTTATATGGTCCAAAGCACCGGTCGATCTTGTTCCACAACTTAGAGACTTGATGAGAAATGCGATCGAGAGTAGCTATCAATGGAAAATGGAAAGGGCAGCCGGTGATGAGACAACAGATTGCTTTGTGACAATTATCCCAGAGGACAAAAATGCAGATATATCCATCAATTTGCGCGTCGGACAGAGACTCGGATTGCAGCTGCTCACATTGTTGGAATTGCGCCCTATGTAGTCATCTTTACTAGGGTATCTACCACCTTGACTTCGTGCTTCGGAGGAACGTGAATTTTCGTGTCGGTTTGCACATCTCTGTACGGTTTCGCTTCTCCTTCATCGGTAGGAGGAATAATCATAATCAACGTGCCCCTGCCGATAATATACCTATCATATTCCACCGCATCAAATATATATCCTCTAATATATTCCTCGTCTCCGTTAAGAGCAACACTTCCAACCTAAAGTTCGGAAATTTAGAAGATAAGACCAGCAATAGGAAAGCGTGTCGATCGCATACCTCGGCGGACATTTAGATGACTTTAATCAGTTGAGCCTTGAATAGACACCCAATAAAGCGGGCTTCTTATAAAAACAGAGAGGAAGCGTATACTAGATACCTTTCAGACCCTATTCAACAGTGAGGCGTAGGTATTGATATTTGACTTGGCGGGTGATAGGAGGAGGATGGCTTCAACGTTGAAGATTTTGCTTAGAGAGAGTCAGACGGGTTTTTTTATCAGGAAACAAGGTTGACGTACTTTCTTATTGTCGAGCGTTAAGGCCGAAATGATTGCCATTTGAAAAGTCATGGAGGGTTGCGGCCCAACGGCGGGATAGAGGGGTGGATTTAGTCATCATGATATCAGTCAAATTAAGTCAACTGAACCAGTTAGTTAGCTACTATAAGGTGGGTGAGCAGCTCTGGTCATAACCTTTGAATCCGGTCGTTGAGTTTAAACAACCAAATATCATTACGTCGGGACACTAGCTTAAGATCTCTCATATTATCTCCTTCTCTTCACCTTTTTTTCCACCTTTTTTTCCACCTTTTTTTTTCCACCTTTTTTTCCACCTTTTTTTCTACCTTTCTTTTTCCACCTCCTCTTCCACCTGTTTTGAGTCTAGCACTACGCTAGTGTAACTATTTGATGGTGGAGGCCTTTGGACACTGAGACCCCAGCTCAATCCAATCATTCTCCTGCAACATATATCCAGGTTCATGCAGGCTACTCTCAAATCAGCTTGGTATCTTTATAATTGCAGTTATGTCTAGCTATTCTTGGCGAGAGGGAAGCTGTTGCGAGATCTTTCGTCCGGAACAGAGAGCGAGAGATAGGTATTGACGACCAGGGAGGGTCACAAATATATAAGAAGCAGCAATTCCTGGGGCTCTGATCAGCCTTTCTCTTTATTATTGGCATTCTAGTCTCTTGGATATTTATACCAGCTTCCTATAAGGCACCTAATTTTACCAGTCATTTAACTACGCAATATGGCTTTGAATAAGACTTCTTCTCCCTGTCACCAAGGTATAACGCCGCCGGATAGTCCAACGAGGGGGACAGCTACGTCTTAGACGATCGTAAAGGACCTGAAGCATCTCTTTGGTGTGCTCCTTAAAAAGGTGTTCGACCTTACCAACCAAGAACCTCTAAACACTCCTGTCTCCCAAGACCAGTCCCCAGCAGCCCCCGATATGATTCAACTGAAGCAGTTGCTGGTGAAACTCACCAGCGATGAATGTGCTTCAGTTGGACCCTTCGCGGTAACTGATCCTGCTTAGTCTGGCCTTGCCAACAATGAACAGGAGGAGGTTACTCAGGTAGTAAATAAAATCGATCTCAATTGTCCAATCTGTACTACTCCAGATGATTTCAATTCGTTTGAGAAATAGGTATCGGCATCCCAATTCAAAACAGTCGTGGAAACGTATAAGCTAGCTATCAGACCATTTCTTATTCGGGAATTGCTGATATAGGTCCAGTTGGGACAAAGAGGTATATAAATACAAGATAGCCGAGCCGACGGAGACCAGCACTGGTCTAGACGACTATACTGAGTATATATTCGTTGTCCGTGAACGTGCTGGTACGTGACACCTTTATATACCGGACCGAAAACCTACTAATAGTATAATCAGACCGGACGTCCGAGGAGGTAGTGCTATTTATAGATATCAAGTCAGAAGGCCTACGCGATATCCTGCGAGACGTGCTACACAACATCAAGGCCGTTAGCCTAATAGAGGACAAGCTATCGGTAATTGAGACAGTATTATCATTAAGAAGCCCGCTAACGTGGATTTAGATCGAGTAAAATTTCCTTTTTTATTTCCTCCTAGAGCTCGACAGATATACGGACAATATAGATAGCAACCCGGACTATAGGTCGGCGTATACAGAGTATCTCGTCTTACTCATCGATCACCTCAAGGACGTATATACTTCTACTTTACAGCGTCTCGAATCAATATTGCAGCACGGTTATATTATATATAACCTTCTTTGGGCGCTTTTTAAGCCTAGTTACTATATTTATACTATATATATTGGTATAAAAGAGCCGCGATATATCGTATTCGATACGGGCGAAGAGATAATATAAAATAAAGAGACGTGGTTGAATCTCGAGTGCCGATTTTTTGATTATAACGGAGTCAAGTTCGGCGAGGCCGGTATCTTTCTACGAGTGGCCAAGTTCCGAGGATCAAAGCCGATCGAGAGCCTTAAAGCCTTCCCTCTCCGCTACTATCCAAGTCACGAGTAAGTCCGGAAAGATTTAGTCGAGAGAGGTCAAAAGTTCCGGAATTTAGCCGGCTTATATATTCGGCACTGCGAAGGCAGTGTATTCTTTATAAACAAGGGGAAGGCTATCAAAGTCAATATTAACAGTAGAGTGGCAGTAGACGCCGTATTTTTCTATAAAATGCAGCCAAACTACTCTCGACTATCACTCCGCGATATTAGGGTCAAGGATAAGGATAGAATTGCAGTTATTAACATTGGTGCAATACTTATAGAGGACCGTGAGCGAGAGAAGGAGAAAATATAAGGAAACGGTGTGGATACACAAAAGCTGAGCGAGGCCGATTTACTGGTCGCCTACCCAACAGTTTGCTGTTTTAGTTTCAAGGAGAAAATATTCTGTATATAACACGACTGACAATAGTTCGGTGTCCGGCTAATATAATTCCAGTGGAGTGCGCAGTTAGTGCTCTTAGGGACGTAGATTGGTTACCTAAGTCGTTCGACTACCTAAAGATCCCTTCAGAGACCAAGACTATCCTCTTATCATTGGCGAAAACCCGCCTAGGGATGATACTAACGGTACCGTTCGACGACGTAATTGATAGAAAGGGCCAAGGATTCAATATTCTTCTGAAGTATATCGGCAAAGCGTCTATATTATCAAGTCTTCCTAACCTAACTTATACTAGTGGCCCACCGGGAGTCGGAAAGACTTTCACAGTCGAGGTAACCTCGGAGTATTTCAAGCTCCCCCTCTATTCGGTATAAACTATCCAGCTCGGCTGATTTTGGCGTCACTGATTTTTCTAGATATCTGTAGGCGAACTTATTATAAACCACGGAGATTCCAATACGCTTAAGTAACAACTTAAAACAGTATTCAAGATCGCCAAACACTTTAATACCGTGCTTCTCTTGGATAAGGCAGACGCGTTTATAGAGCAGCGTATATCTTACTACGATACCTATAATCGCCTTATGACCGTTTTCCTCCGAAAGCTGGAATATTACCAAGGAATTCTTTTCTTGACTTTAAATCGGGGTATTCAGTTTGATAACGCAATTCTCAGCCGGATCCATTTGATCATTGAGTATAAGAATTTAACGAGAGAGTTTCGCAGAGAGCTCTGGTCAACTTTTCTGTCTAAGGTATATACGATACAAGGACCTACTATTGTTGAGGAGCACGAACTTCGACGATTGGAGTCTTTAGCTCTAAATAGACGAGAGGTGGGTGTCCGAGTGGTACTGAATATCTCACTTACTGACCACTAATAAACCAGATCAAAAATGTCGTAGCTATTGTATACGCTCTCGCTGAGGCTAACGTTAAGTAGGTAAACTATAAATACTTGAAGTTAGCCGCTAAATCAAATACGAAATTTTCAAAGGAGTTTGGTAGAGAGAGGCCTACTGATAGAATGTATATCTAATAGTATATCTGGGAAAGTCATATGGATAATCCTTTCCTCGAGGTTATCAAACGGTTAGGCGCTTATCGCAATATTTTCGGTTTGTACACGACAGTCTATAGTATCGGTCCTGAAGCTTTATAGTTAAATCAAGGTTTTTATATGATTCATAGTATCACACACAATCAAGCCCGAGAGCCAGAATTGGATGATCAATTCGTGATTGTCAACGTATATAGAATCGTCTCTCACCAGAGGCTATATAGGTGTACTGGAGAAGCGGGTATCAAGAATTACAATAGATAGAAATTCTGACTGATTTATGCGGATATAGGCCGAAAATGCTTTATACTTTATTATTATATATAATTGTATTGCTAATCCAATCACTGCCTCACGTTACACGAAGACGTTTTAGATCTCCTATCTCTGGTTAAGGTAGTCGTCGTTTTACGGCTCGTGGTCGCTGCAAAGTCGGTCGACTTTCAATATAGAGGGGTGAAAGTCGATAATCAACGCCTATATTACTACGCCGAAGGTCTTCGTAGATGATTCCTAAAGCTTTGATCTCTCTGTTCGACTTAGGTATCTCCCGGAGAAGGATAGGCGTGAGTTCCGTTGTGGTTATACTTTCGCCCCCCCAGCCTATCACGAGTATATAGTGAATCTCTCCAGCCCTATAAAGGAAATAAATTTTCGCTAGGTCGATCGTGGCCAGAAATACAGGCACAGTAGACCCTTAAGCCTTGCGTATAATTTGGTATACTTACGCTTCGCGAGAGATATCTTTCTACAGCCTAAGACCACAAGGAATCGAAGTATAAATTCGGTGATAAGACGATTGAGAGGCTTACCGACGACTTTACTTCTAAGGTACCAGACTAACTTCTTAGTCTAGCTGAAGTTTTGTCGTTCTTATTGGAGCAGAAGAACTCGCCTTTTAGTGCTGTTACTGGTACTAAAAACTAGGTAGAGAGAATAAGGGCTAGGAGCCAACTGAAGAGAGAGGGTTCTTAGGTATAAGAAAGCAAATACTGAACACGAGAAAGAGTGGCCGAACGGAACAGAGGGGTAAGGGGTAATTTTCTAAGGTCTACAGCTCCCTAGAAATATAGTGATCCGATATTAACGTAGGTCAGGGAGATGGTATTGTAAAAGACGTGTCTGTTCTGGTAAAAAGTTTAAAAGTGCGCAGTACTAGTGGTAGAAACGCTTTATTATCATATAGTATACAATCGGTATCGAAATATAAAAATAAACACTGCTTCCCTCGTGATCACTTAGAACTGGCCGATATTTCAATCTAGAGCAGTGAAAGCCGATAAATTAATGACTACCCGAGCTAGAATACTAACACACCGAGGGTCTTCTTAGATGATTTTTAAGACTTCGATTTCCTTGTTCGATCCTGATCTGTGGATATCCTAGCGAAATAAAAGCGCCAGCTCTATCGACGCTGTACTTCCCTCCCCTAGATATCACGAGTATATAACGTGATCCGAAGGTACAGACGTAAAACGTCAACTAACGCAGTGATCTATAGGTCTCGGGGCAGTTATATATATACAGCAGTTGAGCTAGGTAGGAGCCTTTGTCTGCTTTTCTACGCCCCGTTAGAATAACTATACCGAGTGTTGCTAGAGGTTGGTTTAAGAGCCCAAGGGCGCTTCAACCTTTTTACGTCCTCTAAGTCAATAATAAACAAACAGCTATCTAGGTCGTCCCACAGTATATTACACCACTCACTATCGCCGTAGACAACTCTGTGCGACCGGAGCACAGTCAGAGCTTTGTCGCGCTCCCGGTGAAAGAAGCTGGAATTTTCATCGTTAATAATATACTGAAGCCGCGTTCCAGACCAGCTTAGTATCATTATCTGCGCTATTAATTTGCTATAGTACCAATATATAACGCGGGGTGTAAAGGCCCTAAGGCAGACAGGGATCTGTTGTCCCTATAAGCTCCTAAGATAGCGATAATTGTCCACTTCCGCTTAAAGGAGATACTGCTTCTCCGTCGTGGTAGCCTTAATAATCACAGTGTACCTGTGCGTTAGAAGGATGGCTTTTATAAGGTAACCTGTTCGACCACAAACGTGGAGTTATTCAAACCCATAGTTTCGGTTTCGGGTAAGTTAACAGTGAAGCCGGCGTATGAGCTCTTGCGGTCCTATAGAGTGTCTCTGTCCACCGTAGAGCTTCTAGTTAGGGTATTCTTTATCCAGAGATTCACGGTTGACTATACCACGGATATAGGCAATAGTGCAGTATAGTCGTGCAGAATGCTTATCTTAGCGAGAAGTATGGTTTTTGTCCTCGCCGGCTTGTGTCCTTTCGCTTCCCTTTCTCGATTGACGCTTATTACCTCGTTTGCGGCTTAATCGGCTACGCGACGCTGCAGCAGCGGATAGCGATTGCGATTCTTGATCGCTGCCGCTACCTTCGGGCGACGAGTGCTTTAGTGTAGATACGTCTAGCTGACAGCGAGCGCTAGATCGTATATTATATACTTTTCGATCTCGTTTCCAATGCGAAGGCCGATAATTAGAGGATCTCGGATCTTTACGGAGAGTTTCAGGAATTTCCTTCAATACGTTGAGATATTCGACCTCCTAGGTCGTTAGCTTATCGTCCGCCGTATCGTGCCACTCTTAAGTTAGAACCTCGGCGGCCAGCGTTTGAAGAGTGAACGTAAGCACCTACCCAATAGCGGTCCGGTAGAGGCGCAATTTATTATTAGCCTATACGTCTTGATTCGGAATATACAAGAAATATTGAACAACTATAGGATCGTCTTTCGGGATATATAGGAAAACAAAGGCCTCCCCTGTGCAGATATAGCCGTATCGAACCCCACTGTCGATTATATATAAAAATATTTGAGTGATCACGGCGGCGATAAGTCGGGTGGCGTAAAATTCAAACGTATTACCTTTCTGGTCAATCATATCGCGAGCCAGATCTATCTGGTGTAGACCTACAACCAATTCGGGAATCGTTACCTTGTGCGGCGCTTTGAACTCCACTGTATACACTGGTATTTGTCGTTTATCAGCCGTAAGGTGCACGCAGAACTGGTCGGCGCGCCGATTGCGTCTTCGTGTAGTACTATCCCTCTTCTGTCTCTCCGCCGCTCCTCCCCCTCTTCCTCTGCCTCTTCTATACCTAGTGTTCGCCGGTCGTTAGGGTATCCGCGCGTCCTAAATATTCATCTGTTCTAGGCTGTTCTCCAGCGGAGTTTTTGATAGGTTTACGCGATTATAGAAGGTGACCCGACCTTAGATTCTAAACTCCTATCGAAGAGGTTTATCGTCTCCTAAAGCCTTAATAACCTTTTCGACAAAGTTATCCACCGTATCTCGCTCAAAATTCCGAAGAGACGCTTCCGAATAGATCGGCCTATTCTAGATATTCGTAACGATATAATCGATTTGGGTATCAGAAGGGAATAGTGGGCGCGAGGTAAAGCCAGCGGTGCGGTCGAATTTCCCCTAAACTTGTTCCTGTAGCTAGGGGAAGTCAAGCCAAGGGACAATATACTTAGGGTAGAGTCGGTTCACTGGATCGGTCGCGTCGCCCTGAGTCGTGAGGGTCGTATCTGCCTTAACTTAGATCGCTTGGGACAGAAAATTGTGGCAGCGATCGAGGAGGCGAGATAGTGTATTAGGTTGCACTCGCCGCTCTGCCGCTTCCCGTGCTAGTCTCTCTTCCTCTTTACGGCGCTCAGCCTCTCCCTAGAGGCGCTCAGCAGCTTCGCGGAGCCTTTGTTGTTCTTCAACCTAACGTCGTAATTCGGCGATTGTCTCCTCTATCCCTTGTTGAAATAATTATTTAGCAGATAATCTAACGAAACAAATTGAAGTCAACAGAGTAGGGCCCTAGCTAGCGCGGGGAATAGAAGTCTGGTTATTTACCCGCTTACTCACCCGTTATCTCAGAGTCAATTAGTGCCTTAGGCATTAAAACACGTTGAACTCTCGGTTGATTTCGGGTATTGTCCCCAAAACATACCCCGACTCGATGGTATCTAGATTTGCTTCGTTAGTATATAGATAAATTCGGTCCTCCTTTTAACCCTTAAAAGTATAGTTACCGTAGCGAGACAACTATTCCAATTGTATCACTCGCGAGGCCCACTTCCGTCCTCCACTAAAGGCTATTTGCTTCAAAGGATAACTGCGTTGTATGATCTCGCTGTGAGGAATACACAGCGAAGCTACCTTCAATTCCAGTTCGCCTGATCTCTAGGGTTAATAGTAAGACCGAAGTACGTAAGTGGGATATTGCAACTAAATTGCTATTCAGAACCGCGAACTGCAAACTACGAATAAGCCCTTTGAGAAACAAGCAATCGTTGCTATACTGCGAGTCCAGCCAAGCACAGCCCGAGTGTAGAGCGACAGTAACCTTTGAAGGCTCGATGAATATCATGTGGGATCCGGACAGAGCCTAAGATTAAGCCCCGCTGAAACCCCTCACAGCCAGAAATATTTTCTAGGTCTCAAGTTGCTAAATTATATTATAAGTAGGGATTGCTTTCTTCATATTCTCGACCCAGCGCCGAATGTCTTCTACGAACCGTCGAGCAATACCTATCTTTATGCCCCTTCCGATAAAGAATTCCGGGTCTTGATCCTTGTAGACCTACTCAAGATCAAGACTATTGTCGATCATTATATCACAGATCTCTCGAAATGCAGCCTTGAGAGTGTCATCAGTGACATTTAACACCTGCCATTCACTATATTCCTTAACCGCTTTATCCCTAGGTCCAGGGATCTCAAGCGGGCCTGGAGATTGTATAGACTGGAAGTCAGCAGAAACCTATACAGCTGCAGAGGTAGAAGACCGCGAGGGCAGGACATTGATATTGATAGCAGGATATAGTGCTCTATTTCCAGTCATATATCCTCCTTTGCGATTCTTCTTTTCCTGTCTCTGTTACTCTTCTATATATAATTCTTCGCATACTGTTTCTGGTATATCCTTGTGCCCGTCTAACACCCTACCTTTTTCGACGTAGGTAACGAGCCGCTTCAGATAATAAGTCTTCAGTTAGTAATACTTTTTTCCTATTAGATCCACCCAACAATATAGGCCTAATAGGTAAGTCGAGGATACGCATCGCATTAGGTTGTAGACGCTGCGCCAGATAGGTCTTTCTCCAGAAGTATCCTGCTCAGTATCAATCTGAGCGGCTCTCTTATCGAGTATTCTCTTCGTAACAGAGGCTTTTCCTCTTTTCTCCCCTTTCCGACTAGCAGCTAGAGGAGAGTGACGGTCGTCTACGTAATTAAAACTGATCTTCAACGTGAGCTCTTTACCCCGGGAGAATAGACCTAACTATATCCGAAGCTACTTCTCGATAGCGGCCCAAATGATTTCGGTATTATCAAATCGTTTAGTTAAATTGCGCTGGGTTCGGTCGTTCACTGAAGCGACAATCGCAGTGTTATCAGCTCTTACCTAACGATAACGGGCAATCTTTCGTCGAAGAACTTTCTCTAATTTCTTTTCCAAGAACAGCTACCAAAAGGCACTAGGGGCCAAAACAAGATCTTCCTCTGTGTCCTTTGATACCTCTCGATTGTTGATTATAACACGCCACTCTATACGGTAGTGTATATAGGTCGGCGGGTCCTTATCGTATACTCTTCCTTCTTCCTATTCAGACAACTAGAGCTAGACTTCCGCACGACCCAGTTTGGGTCGAAGGTCTCGACCCAGAACCCAACCCAGTCTGGGTCTGGGTCGAAACCTTATAACCCAGGCCCAACCCAGACCCAGTGACTGGGGCCCCAGAAAACCCAGTATAGCCCCAGTTCGACCTAGTTTCTGCATAAATTATGGTATAAATATTTAAATAACATACTGTTATTTTCCCCTGTTATGGTTTCTATATCGAAATACTACACTCTCTACCAACAAGGGAAAGGAAATTTTAAGAAATTACCTCGTTCTTCAAAGCAATATATCTAGTTCAAGATTAATTACTTCTTTAAATGCTTTATTTCATATAGAAAGGTGGTATATATTGGCTGCTGGTTTTCTCAAGCGTACGATAGTATTCCATTTAAAATACAAAGTATACCCCAAGTTGTAGATATATATATTCAATATATATCAATATAATATATATTTTCATCTATAGAGTAAAATAATTTTTGAATTTATTTATTTCTCTTCTTCTGTTTAATTTTAGAGCTTATATAACTATAGATAGATATCTAGTAAACCTTTATATTTAAAACTACTTACTACCTCTTAATCTACTTGGTATATACGACTTGAAGGGAGGGTAGGAAGAAATATTTTGAGAAGGATTAATAGAACTAGGGTGGGAATTGGGGTTTGACTGGGGTTTTACTGGGTTTACTGGGTTTACTGGGTTCTTACCGGGTTAAATAGGTTCTTACTGGGTTCTTACTGGGTTAAATAGGTTATAACTAGGTCTTGACTGGGTTATCTCAGGGGTATTTCTTTAGACCTATATAATTTTAGTATAATAGACTAATCAATAAGAGTAGGATGATTTACTATATTTGATATATCAATATTCCTAGACACTTCTACAACTTTAGTGTATTTCTTCCTTTATACGTTAAAGAATTTCTCCCCTTATATCCCTTTGTATATATTATATATTATTCTTATATTATATCTCAAAGCTAACTTTCCGACTTTGCATCGTCGCTCTATAGTGGTAATCTTGACGATCTCTTATATATTTCAACTGGATAAGTCACACTATCCGTAAGTTAACATACAATCGACTTAAACTTCCGAAGACCAGATGATCCCCTCCTAATCCCCCCTTTATTGAAACGCGTTGGACCCGACCGTAGGAAAGGGTTTATTCTATACAATACAATGTTATATAACGATTTTGTAGACTAGTGGTTAGAGACTGACTACAGGAGGAAAAGTAAGCTTAAATAGGATTCGAACCGCTATACAGAGATCTGGAATAGCTACTATTAGGTAGCTTAGGGTATTAATAGCGCACCAAAGGTTATATATAAGCGCTGTGGGAAGATCCTAGAGTATCCTTATACACTAAGCCCGAACAGTACAGGCAAAGCGCAGTATTATAGTATATCAACTATCCAGAAACATCGGAAAACGGCTGGTTATTTACGGTCGGAAAAGGGGAAGAAAGCAGAGATTACAAACTTCCTACAAAGAGAGGTATATTTTATATTATAAAACTAAGTAACTATACTAATTTATTATTATTCTAGGGAGAGGTTTCAGCAAGTATACCCTTCTTACAAGAAGATTGGGAGGAGGATCTCCTCTAATTTCTTACTCTCAACCGGCTCCTATTCTATCTGATCGAGCATCTATTATTCAAACGTATCATCAATAAAGCTCGTTCCGCCCTATCCCCTCCAGTGATCCTATCTACCGATACCATCCGTCGCCGATTGGGTAGTCTAGTCAAAGACCGGTAGCAGCGTATCCTTCGTACGCTGCCTTCTGGCTCAAAGATATCTATTGCGCTTGACTGCTGGATATCTCTATTCTCGCAGGTATTTATAGCTATTACTGGCTATTTCATTGACAGTGATTGGGTATATCGTGAGGTACTACTTAGGTTTAAGCCGCTTTATAGTATATATACCGGCTCTTACCTAAGTAGTGTTCTTATAGAAACCCTAGTGGAGCACAATATTGAAGATAAAGTATTCGGGTTAACAACAGATAATATATCAAACAACAAGACATTAGCTACTGCTCTCTAACAGGCTTTGTCAGATAATACTATTATCACCCGAATACTATATCTTACCCACGTTATCCAGCTCAGCCTAAATCAGCTTCTTACTCGGATCAAGGCAGTTCTATTAAATAAATCAGCCGAGACAAGGTAGACAGAGAAGCAGTTAAGGCTAGCCCAAGAAAATACGAAGCAAAGTCAGATCTCCTCCACACTGAACAAAGTCCGTTATCTTGCGATTTACGTCAATACAAGTCCCCAGCGCAGAGAGACCTTTTACAATCTTCAGATAACTAATATCAAGATCGTTCCAATCCAAGATATAAAGACACGATAGAATTCTACGTTCCTTATACTTCGCCGGGTAAAGAGGCTACGTGCTATCTTCTCTTTATTCTGTACAGAGTATAATTGTAAGGAGATACTACTCAGCGAGTAAGAGTGGCGTTAGATCGACTATCTTCTTTGTATCACCGAGCCCTTCTTTGATTATACAACACAGCTATCAAAGACTCGAGATATCACTGCCCACTATATATTCAAGATCTACAACAAACTATTCGATTATCTTAAGCGATCACAGGCACAGCTACGCCGAAAGCGTGTCCCATAGAAGAAACAGATACTAGAGGCCCTTAAAGCTGGTCGGTCTAAGCTTAATAAGTATTACTCCTAAGCTGATGATCTTCGAGGGAATATCTATACAATCAGTGCAATACTTACACCGGTGAACAAATTCAAATTCTTCCTCTCCAGTGATTGGGATCAGAAATAGCGAGATACCTATCGACTTGCTTTTAAACAAGCCCTTATTCTATATTAAGCACAAGTTAGAACAAGCAGTCGTGATCTACAAAGCTATCTAACGATAGCCTATCTAAGCTCAAGGCTAGAGGAGATACTTAATAGAAGGGATATATAACCACGAGCTATTACTGATAAAATCAGTCAATATCTTGATAGCGGTAAGTAAATACAAAGAGTATATACAATAATAATACTAATATATATATAGATACTGTTTCTGTTAGGCCGCTTACTTTCTGGAAAGAGCACCAGGCTCGCTTTCCGGCCATTGCTGCCCTTGC